TATGTATATGTATATGTATATGTATATGTATATGTATATGTATATGTATATGTATATGTATATGTATATGTATGGCTCTGTGTGTGTATTCCAGCATAACTCTGAAACACCTTGAGCAATTTCAACCAAACTTGGTACACAGATGACTTACTCTCTCGAAAAAAAAATACTGTGAGGGTAAGACACCCCTAACACCACTTTGAGTGTGTGTTCTGTTAAGATAGAGCCTGTTGTGCCATCAAATGGCTTCTACTATACTACTATAAAATGGCTTCTACTGTACAACGCAGAGGAATTGCCATGGTAACAGCTTCACAGTACTGCACACAAGGGGGCTCCCTCTGGTAAGGGGGAGAATCCAACATTAGAAATTACGTTTGGTCCGGACATTTCCCCTCTATAAACAAATACCCGGGCAATGCCGGGTTATCAGCTAGTTTAATCTAAAAGGAGACATGATCGAAAGCTAGAGAGAAAAGCCACAAGTTTACCGTATAGCCCAGATTCTGATATTGAAGTTGAAGGCACTATGACTTACATTTAATGTGCTCTCCAATAAAGGAGAATATTTGTAGTTCAGGGTTCAAGTGAGGGGTCCTTGGTGCTCTCTGATCTCACTTCTTTTTTTGGCAGATGTTTCATTCATTCATTCATTCAAATAATGAAACGTTTGCAAGAAAACAAGCAAGCTCAGGGAGCACCAAGCACCCCTCAGTGTCAAATTTTGGGTGTTGCTATTGAGAAAACACCAACGTTTCCTTCCCTCGGCCTTGGATGATGAACATTTTCGTGCATGGAAAGTCTTAATTTTTTGTGGGAATCCATGAGAAGGTGGCCTGAACTGTCTCTCTGCTCTCCCAACAGTGCCTTTGTAAGGATGAACTCTACCCGGCCATTGGCTTTTTTGGAAAGGGCTATGGAAAAAACAATGAACCGATTAGGGGTTACATGCTGACGTACCTCATTGCAGTTGGCTTCATTCTGATTGGTAAGATTGGAGAAGATGTTCACACAAAGAATCTGGTCTTGGTCTAGGGGGATTTGGCTAACCAAAGAGGAGGCATCCGTTCCTTTGACAGTTGCCTGAAATAAAATGTTTCATTCTCAAATGTAGTTCTCATCTAACAAAATGAAATTTAAGGGTGAAAAAAGTAAGGTTCTACATTTAGGTAAGAAAAACAAAATGCACAGGTACAGTATAGGTGGTACCTTGCTCAATAGTAGTCACTTTGAGAGGGATCTTGGAGTCCCATTTAAATATGAGTCAACAGTGTGCAACAGCTGCCAAAAAAGCCAACACAGTTCTAGGCTGCATCAACAGAAAGATAGAATCAAGATCACGTGACGTGTTAATACCAATTTATAATGCCTTGATAAGGCCACACGTGGAATACTGCACTCAGTTTTGGAAGCCACAATGTAAAATAGATGTTGAGACTCTAGAAAAAGTGCAGAGAAGAGCAACAAAGATGATTAGGGGACTGGAGGCTAAAACATATGAAGAACGGTTGCAGGAACTGGGTATGTC